TTGTTGTATCTTACGCCGGTATATTGAAAGTTTTGGATCTGAAGAACTGCCTCATTGAGTACTTCATCAAAAAGAACAATATGTTCTTTTCTCTGAAAAGTTTTGTTCAGAGTAGCGATAGTTCCTACTCCTTCTAAAATATTTTGTCCGTCTGCGATACCACCAGCAATAATTCTTATATACTAATCAAGAATTCGCATAAATAGATTAATTATACAGTATGTGATTATTGATTTTTTAAAAGACTTTATATTACCTTTTCCATATCACGAATATCCATATTTATAGCTGCTTCATCTTCGATGTTTTGACCTGCTTTCGGTCTTCCAAAATGGAGATGACCCTTTAACGCATGGGTAAGTGCTTCTGTAGTCTTTTCGAACTCTCCAATAAGACTATAAAATATTCTTTCCATCGAAAATTCAGGGCCTCGATATTCATTAAAGTATTTACCAACGCCTTGCAACTGCGAAATATCCATGACAAAATTTTGTATTTTTTCAATCATTTTAACGAATCCTTGAAAAATCGGATAATTCCCACTATTTTCAAAAAACCAACTGTAATTACTGTTTAGATGTAAAACTTTCACTCCATCTGCAACACTATATACACGTTCAAGTAATACACCGCAAACTCTTCTATTATATTCGGCATTTTCGTAACATTTTAAAACTTTATCCGCATATTTTAGAAAATCCTTTATCAATGGTAAAAATATTTCAAAGCACGTTCGTTTCGTTGCCTCAACACCCTCCATAGGATCGTCATAGATAATCAAAGAAGTGGAGTGTTTGGGTCTCTCCACAAATGATTGATTTGACTTTTGAGATGTTGCTCCGACGGGATTCTATTAGGATATTCCGTAAGATAATATGCAATGAAAATTCATATAAAAAGTTTATATATTAACTTAACTTTATGTAGACTACGTTGAAGGTTTTGCTTAATATTCTCAAAAGTTTCCTTTCGCTCTTGAGGTAATAATTCCCACTTTTCGGCGATAAACTTTGATAAATCTAAGCTATCGATTTTGAAACCATTTTGTTTGATTTTTTTAAATAGATAGATATGGAAAATTATCAAGGTTTCTGGTGGTTTCTCCTCTTTCATATTAGCAATAAAAAAATCTTCTGTTTGCTTTATCATAGAATCTTCAATATTCAAATCTAATATGCCTAATTCTTCAATACGCTGAAAAATGATTTTACTAAAGGGATTATTTTTTGCCATTTGTTTGTCAACAAGATGTACGTACCAGTACGTTCGTAGTCTATTGTTATACGTGCATATCGTTCAAATGGTTACACATGTTGCTTTAGAGTTCATTACGTCACCAATAAATATCTGGAGCATCAAACGTAAAATGGAAATTCTCTAGTAGCACAGTCAAAATAGCAATTTAACGTAGATCATTGAAAAAATTGGAAATTTTCTAGTAGCACAAAGGTAGAGTTCGTTTCGTCATCAAAGATTGACATGAACGCAATAAACCAATATCGATATTAAAAATTTTACTTTAAAATGCAGGTTTCCGAAAAAGTACGTATTTATGGAATCAATGATAAGAACCTAACGGATTAAACTAATCCCTCAATTACCAATTCAGAAAAAGCCAAATCTTTAGTTTTCAAAATTTGTGGTTTTTGTGGAAAGAATGCTCAAATTATTTCATCCTTGCAAGCAAATCCTTTCATTGTTTGAATGACAAAACGTCAGCCACGTCATCTTCTATGACAAAAACGTCAAAAACGTCAGCCACGTCATCTTCTATGACAAAAACGTCAACAACGTCATCTGCCATATATATTATAGCTTAAAGAAAAAATTACGCATCTCGAAACAGAACTCTATGAAAAAAATCAAAATCGAGATCACATAAAAGATGAAGAAGCTATTATTACTGTAGTAAAAGAAAATAATTAGTGATCAAAAAATTGGTTCTACGATATTTGTCAATACGGAGCAATATCTTATATTGGTTTTGTCAAAGCCATGTATTAAGTGCGCGAATTCACAACTTTCAAATCGTAAATGGTATATTTCAACTTCTGGCTTTAGTATTAAAACACTTATTAACTGTATAAATGTGGATGGATTACTGAACATGACATGATAATCAAAAAGGAATAAATTTTGCGAGTTGCATAGCTGGATCTACTCTTGTAGACGGTCTTAACCGGCAAGCGATGGTAATAGCATTAGCACTAATAGGAGTGACATCTCAAGCATGTAAAGTAGCATATCATCAGTATCAAGCAGAAATGTTTTCTGATATTATTAAAGTCACCAAAGAAAGTGTACACTCAGCTTTGTTAAACGCATTAAAACATTTAAAGAGGAGAAAGAAACTAATATCTTGCCTGTAAGTTTTGATTGTACATGTAGTTGGTCGCATTCACGTAATGCAAATCAAGCTAGTGGTGAATTTATATTTTTGGATGATCTTCCAGGCAATGATTCTTTTATATGATTATTTTTATAATGACAATACTGTATATTATATATTAATATATTTTTTTATAGATTTTTTCACACAAACCAGTTATTGCTTTTTATATTGTTGAAAAATCGTGAACAATTACTATAGCTAATAGTCAAAAAAAGTAGTTTACCAAGGAAATTTTGATCAAGCATCTAATCGTATGGAACATGCAATTCTTATTGCAATTCTGAATCAAATTACTCTGATTTTAATTGAGCATGATTTCTTAATAAATATATGTGTGGATGGTGACCTTAATACAAATAAAACTCTGGCAAATGTCTCAATAGTAAATCAAATATTCGTTGATTTAAAACATATAACAAAAAACATCCAGAAAAATCTTTGTACGTATTATATTTTTTATTATTGTTTTTTATATATTAAATTTCTAATTTTTATATATTTTTCAGTAAAAAAAAATATCAAGTGGCACAATTTTGAAGAATATATTTTGAAGCATTTTACTCATTGTGTATATATTGCAGGACTACGTAAAAATGATTCGAATGCTATAACTACTTCTGAAAAAGAGCTCAAATATCAACAAATTGACATTTTAATTGAATATATACAAAATAAATATAATAATAGTTGATCTGAAATAAAGATAATAAAGAAATGATACTGAATACTTCTACACTTATTGGATGAAGTGAGCATGATATTACAACATTTAAAGGATATTGAAAAAATTTTTTTAAACTTCCAGCACAACAAGGACTGTCACAACATATCGCTCCTCTATTAGTAAAGCTTTTAATCACAAGATTTTATGATTTTTAGATAAAAGAATCGATTTTTGGGCTTCATACCATTTACGGCATGTCTTAGCAGTAATTGACACTAATGAAGGCTTAGAAAAAATGCTATTTTGTGTTTGTTCAAATATTTCTGGGCTTTTTTTTCAGAATCTGATATTAAAATATCCAAAAAATTGCTCAAAGCCATGACAAACAATCTATATGAAATATTCAATCAATTAAAATACGAAATAATAAATGAGCTTTACAATATTCAAAAAATCGTCAAGAATTGCTTGAATTTGATTTTAATCAGGTAAATTTAAAGATATTTTATATTAAATATCTTTTTTATATTTTAAAATAATTATTTATTTTAGGAATTAGTTTTATATAAAGATAAAGCAATAGATCATTTGAAAAATAATTCTTTTATACCTTTATTTACTTTTTTAATTTTAATTTTGATACAATAATAAAATGTCAAGGTTGTAATAGCTTTGGTAAAAAGACTAGTGCTGGTTTATGTGAGCTTTACTCCTTTTATATTGATGCAGAAATACCAGAATGATTATTTAATCAGACTTATGAATCAAAAATAACAAAAAACAAACAATTAACTTTAAAGAAAGTGTAACGCTTGCAGCAAAACTAATTTTTGATATCAAAGAATTTCAAGAAGGATAACAAACAGCCAATCTTATATTTTTAAAAGAAAAAATACCTTTATATCACTAAAAACGGGAGGTGAAAAGACACTATGTTATTGTATTTCAGCAATTCTTTTCAATGGATTAACTGTTATAATAAACTCTTTAAAAGCTTTAAAGAAAATCAAAAGATAAAACTTAAATATTTATAAAATTAATATTTTAAATTTTAATAAATAAATATTTTAATAATCAAATTTTATTTAATGGAAATTAATAAAGATGAATATTCCCTGTGGAGCAGTTTATGCCAATTTAGTACAAAGTGTCAATGAACAAAATAAGATTTTTGAGGAAATCATATGTGAATTTTTAAAATTTTTATTTATAACTGCTAAAAAACTATATTACAATGAAAAATTTCAAAGATTTTTGGATAATCTTTATCAAATAGGCAAATTACGATTTGTTATAGATAAAGCACACTATATTTTGAATTATCAAGATTTCAGATTAGTTTTTAAAAATAAAAACTCAATTTTATATTTATATTAATAATATTTTATATATTCTTAGAGCTGCATGAAATGAACTAGATTTGTTAAAGAAAAGATAGATAATGTACCAATTATGTTTTTAATAGCCACTTGTTCTAAAAATAATGTTGAAGATATTTGCACAAAGCTAGAAATTTCTCTATCAAACTTTGCTATTATTAATAGAAATTCATTTCAACAAAATAAACTATTATTTGAAGTGAAAAAACACAAAGAAAATAAAAATCTATTATACGAAGAAATTGTATAATTAATTAAAGAAATTAATAATAAGTGCTGTATTATTTACTGTGGTACAAAAAATAAATGTGAAGAACTTTTATATAATTTAAGAGAAATAATTGAAGATAATGTGAATTTGAGTATATATCATGGAGGTTTGAATGATAAATAACGTGATAATATTATGAATGCTTGGAATCTGGAAAAATAATAATTAGTACATTAGCATTTGGTATGGGAATTAATTGTTCAAAATATTTATTTAGTAATTCATACAATGACACCATTAAATATAAGTAAGTAAAAAATATATATTATTTTTGACTATTATGATTTTATTTAATTATTTTTATATACTTTAGCCAATTTGATTCAGAAATCAGGTCATGCAGGTCGAGATAGTGTTCTATCAAAAGAAATATTATATTATTCTGGAAAAGATTTAAGAACTAACTTTACAATTATGTCAGATTTTTATAAAATGTATGTATAAATATTTTTATTAAATAATTATTATATTTTAAATATTAATAAAAGTTATTTTAAATAAAAGGAATTTAATTAAAAAGGATCCAGATAATACAAATATAATCAAAGAAAGTTCAAATAAGACAAAAGTAATTTTTGAAATATTTCATTTTTGTAAAAATCAATATAATTGCTGTTTGAATTTGCTTTGGAATTATCATGCATTACCAGATGATGAATCATCATCTTTTTGTGGAATATGTGATAATTGTCAACGATTCAATCAAGACAAGCCTAAAAAAATTGATACTTTAGATGAAATACACGAATTATTAATAATTGTGGATGAATAACAAAGTTGAATATATATCTATAACAACAGATAATGTGGGTTGATGATCAAAAATGAAAGAATTCGTTCACAAGAATGAAATAATTTGAGTATATTTACTCCACGAAAGCCACAAATTTTAAAAACTAAAGATTTAGCACATTATGCTTTAATTGGGATTATTTATATTTAAATTTATATTTGTTGCTGAAATGGATAAAGCTAATTAGATTAATCTCTGATCTATTTGATTATAGTGTCATTAACACTTTCATTTCTTCATTGTATATACTTTTCACATTTAATTGTACAAAAAGTTTTTTGGAAGTATAAAACAATATATTATTAATTTTACTAAATAGAAGTGTCAGACAACATAGGATTTGTAAAACAACACAGTTCAATGCTGTACATAATAGTATGTTTTATACTAGGAATTTGCTCGTGATTAATTAAAAAATTAATGAAATACCTTCCTAAAATAGACTAATGGTAAAAACATTTAAATAATTGAGCATGTATCATAGTAAAATATTTAAATTAATTGAATTGAGTAAATAATACATGTACAATGAAATTGATATGTGACGCATTATGAGATTTTCTATAATAATGGATAATCTTATCTCTATAATACATAATGCAATATACACAGTCGTTAAAGTTAAAAGTATAAACATTATAATCGCTTAATGTCTGGTCTGGATTTTTAAATATAGAATGTAAAATATCAAATTTAAATTTGAAGTACAAAATAAAATTTGTATCGCATGAATGATTTAAGAAATAACATTGTCCAATTTTTGTTTTGCCTGAGCAAATCCTTCATTTGCTGCTTTTGAATACCACTCTAAAGCTATTTTTGCCTGAGCAAATCCTTCATTTGCTGCTTTTGAATACCACTCTATAGCTTTTTTGTCATCATTTTGCACGCCAATGCCATTTTGATAACATAAACCAAGGTTATATTGCCCATTTGCATTTCCAGCAGTTGCTGATTTCAAATACCATTCAAAAGCTTCTTTTTCATTCTTTTGCACGCCACTACCATTTTGATAACATATACCAAGATAACATTGACAATCATCATTTCCACCCTCTGTAGATTTCAAATACCACTCGAAGGTTTTTCTGTCATGTTCTTGCATACCAATGTCATTTTCATAATATAAACCAAGTCTATTTTGTCCTAAGATATCTCCACCCCCAGCAGATTTTGAATACCACTCGAATGCTTTTTTGTCATCTTTTTGCACGCCAATGCCATTTTGATAACATAAAGCAAGATAACTTTGCCCACTTGCATTTCCAGCATTTGCTGATTTCAAATACCATTCAAAAGCTTTTTTGTTGTCTTTTCGCACACCAGCACCAGTTTGATAGCATACACCAAGTCTATTTTGTCCCAAGCTGTTTCCACCCTCTGCAGATTTCAAATACCATTCAAACGCATTTTTTTCATCTTTTGCTACTCCAATTCCAAAATGATAGGTGTAACCAAGAAAATATTGTGATAATGCATCATTGTTTTCTGCATATTGCGCAAAAATTTCTAATGCCAATGCATGATTTTGTTCGACAATGTATCCCGTTTGATAAAGAAAACCAAATAATAATTTATATTGAGCTTTATCAAGAGAATTTCTTAAATAATATTCAAGATCCAAGGAACCTTGATTATTTTTAACATAGTATGACTCTAATTTAGGACCTATTTTATTGAGTTCAACAGTTTTGAGCAATTTGTCAAAAAGAATTATTAATTCGTTAATTAGTGATTCCATAGTATCATCGAGTAAACCCAAAGGCATTTCTTCTGAAGATGAGGTAGTTGTAGTAGATGGCCATTCGATTTTTTCTAGTTGCTCATTGACTTTATGAATATCTGGACGATTTACTGGTTCATCATCCCAACATTCTTGATATAATTCTACATATATATCTGGAGTTCCATAGATCCTATTTTCTTTCTCTGTTGAAGTATAAAGGTGATATCCAAGTTTATTGATTGGAGGATAGCCACTAGAGATAACCCAAAATAATATACCAAGACTAAAAATATCTGAACTTTCATTCCGACGAAAATTTTCCATATCTCTTAGAAACGCAGGATCGTTATAGCATGCTAATCCGTATTTAGTTTTCGTATGAGACTCGTCATTAGAAAGTTTTGAATAGCCTAAGTCTGATATTTTTATTTTTCCCTTATGAATAAGAATATTATTATGATTCTATTAACAAAAGGTATGAAAATATAGAAATTAGATTTGAATCAACCTGAAAATTTAAAATATTATTTCTAAAAACTACTAACTAAATCCCGATGGATAATTCCTTCTTCATGAATATACTGCAGTCCTTTCGCAAGTTGCTTTGCTAAAGATAATTTGTCACTCCCGTCCATACGTGTAAAATTAGATTTCAAAAAATCCTTGAGAGTTCCACCATCAGCATATTTCAAAACAAGCATATATTTTTGAAAATCTAGGTCTAATGAAATTTTTTTTAGTTTATAAAAAATTATTTTTGGATTAAATTGATTTTTTACCTTTGGTGATGCCATAAAGACGAATTATATTTCGATGGGGATTAATTCTAATGAGGATTTTAAGCTAAAACAAAAAGGCCAAGTGTAAAAAATTGCAATCTTTTTCTAGAATACTAAATTTTGTACTTCAATAATTTTTTGAATATGTAAGTACCTCTTTAATGAATTGCTGATAAGTTTCTTCAGCATTTTCATCTTTGATAAAAAGACACTTCAAAGCCACTATTCGGTCATCATTTTTCAATTCAGCTTTAAAAACTTCACCAAACGCACCATACCCGATTACTTTTTTATTGATGAATTTACTAAAATCAAAATATTTTATTTGATTTTCTGAAATCATTTTTTCTATCCAATTTGATGACGACATTTTCTCAAATGTTCGTATTTGTTGTTAACGTTAACGTTAATAAAGCTACATGTACATGAACATGTACTTTAATCTACACACAACCAATATCGGAAAAGAAGTTTGTGAAACTGTACATGTATTACGTTGGTGTGACTATGTAGATCAAATTTATGTTCGTAGCGATAGTGATAGTCTCAAATCAAAAATGATTAGATCAAATTTTCGTGTAACAGATACAACAATTTAATACGTAACTTCATTAAAATATCATGTACTGTTACAGGTTAGGGATTATAAGAACTGCTAATCTGTAACTTGGGTGAGAGAAACGAATTAGACTAAAATCATTTTATTTATTAGTTTTTCCAAAGTCCTGCCAATATCTTCAGATATTGCTGTATTCAATCGTCGGTTAGATTTCCTTCACGTGTTCACAAACGTTAATAATGCATTCACTTTTTCTGGACCAAAAGCATAAACCCTTTAAATCGTAGTCGTTACGGTTGTTAAAACAATTATCTCACTTTTTCTAGATCAAGTGGCAAACCATTTAAATTGTAGACGCCTCACTTTTCTGGATCAAAGTGGCAAAAACCTTCGTTAATGGATTATTAGGATGGAAAATGAAAGGGCACCATAAAAACTTATTGTACACAAGTAAGTAATTATATTTATTGCTTTATTGCCTTATTCTCTTTCAATTGCTTTTTCTCACTCTTACTATATACATTTTCGATTTCATTTTTATGATGTAATTTACGGTGTAAATTACGATGTAAATTACAGTGGAATTTACGGCATAATTTACAGTGGAATTTACAGTGGAATTTACGGTGTAATTCAGTGTAATTGACGCAAAGAAAGAAAAATGCGTTTCTAAAAAGATTTAGTGTTACCAGTGTAACAGTACGTAGTACAGTCAAACCCCTCTATAGTCACCCTATTTTGCTTTCCCATTTACATATAAACATAGTAAAAAAACACCTCTCTATAGTCACATTCCCTCTATAGTCACCAAATTTTGCTTTCCCGAGGGTGGTGACTATAGAGGGGTTTGACTGTATATGTATTTGTTAAAAAAGTTGATTTGTAAATTATGTATTGAGAAGATATAATTTGAAATATGACAATTTTTCAGTCTTTTTATATAAAATTATTGTATCTTCTCAATAATTTACATATTAACTTGTTTAGAAATTTTGTTCAACTATTTAATAGATTCAATATTTTAAAGTAATAGAGAGCTTTTTTTAAAAAACTAAAAAAGGGAATTTACTAATTTCCCCAAAGTTCTGCTTGGTTAAGGATATTAAAGATTAATTTTAGCGTTAGAATTAATGGTTAGGGTTAGAACTGGAGAAAAGGTTATATGTAAAATTGTCTCCCTGACATTTTTTATTAGTGTTTAAGCCAGGTTTAAGTATTTGTTTTCCATATTTTTCACATTATTCATCGGATTTGATTTGCCGGGTTAATCAAAAATTTATGGGTTGATTTAGAAGATCCGGTATGCAATCAACCAATCAGCAATGGAAATTACTTGTGTCCAATCAGAATTTGGAAAGGAAATTAGTAAACACTAATAAAATTACATATATGTACCCCCAAAAAGTAACGCCCGATTTGCATGTGTAACCAAATTTAAAAAATCAATATCGTTTTCTCCCACTTTGATAAACAAACTTGACGTTCTGTTTACTTTTTACGATACGTTAACATTTTAACATTTTAATAATATTATTGTGAAGAAATGACGTCCACCCGTACACAATTAAACGAAATTTAAAAAGGGAAGATTCTGGCATATATGGAAAACATAAATGCCACCCAAATCGCAAAAATGCTTGGACGTGACCCCACAACAATACGGCGCTTCATTAAGAAGTATAAAAAACAGGAAAAAGTGAAAACTTACCACGTTCTGGAAGACCACCTGTCCTTAATAACCACCAAAAAGAACTACTCCTATGTAAAGTTAACAAAAAACGACATTTACCACTCCACGAAATTGTTAACAATTTAGGACTTAACTGTAATGTATCGACTGCCACAAATGTATTGTACGATGCTGGAAGAAACCGTATACATGTATCTCAGATATACATGCGCATATTCGTATTAGCTGGTGTGAAGAAAATCATTTATGATTGGGGAAATATAAATTTTTCTGATGAGACAAGTGTGAAAATTGGGAAGTTAGAGTTTGGCGGTATCCTGGTAACAATATTTATTAATAAAATTACCAAATTAATATAAGATTAACATCTAAAATTTGGCCACTTAAAAATTTTTGGTTGGGACTAAGTTGTACGCACTGTATCGACCAAATATTTCGCCGTGGAATCACCCATAGTTGCAAAATATTTTATATGCTTACCACCTTGGAGATTATGAATATTAATAGCATATTAAACAGTAAAGAAAGGTCTTGGATTTGACGGATATTTATAATCCATAAGTTTCGCTGTATCGAGCATTATTGACCGCTTCACAATTATTTCTGGTAGCTCCTAAACCGAAATTGCCGATTTTTGCTATAAAAATATTTTTAGTGATGTAGAATCTCGGCACTTTTGAAACAAGTTAATCCTCTAGAGATATCTAAAGCGAATTTCATCTGTAGACTCCAATCCGATCTCTAAAGTTGATAAAAATCCTTCAAACTTGATTCGGTAACCCATTCGGTTACCAGAAAAACTTTTAATCGGCTCATTTATAACTCCGTAAAACACAATTATATTCTCTGCTCCTTTAATTTTTTAAAAATGTGATTTCTTTTTAATATTATCTTTAATCGCTCTATCAACAACTTCGACTTCTTTGAATTCGACTTCGTATCATATATTTTGACATTTTGTTATACTTTACTCCAGTATACTGATAGTGTTGGATATTGAGAACTGTGCTGTGTCGTCGAATAATTCATCAAAAAGAACGATATTTTCTTTTAAAAGTCTTGCGACAGTCCCTACTTCTAAAATACTTCTAAGAATTCGCATAAATAGTTTAATTATTGATTTTTTATAGACTTTGTATATGTACATGTATTGCATTTTCCATATCACAAATATCCACATTTATAGCTTCTTCATCTTCGATGTTTTGACCTGCTCTCGATTTTCCAAAATCGGGACGTTCTTTTAACGCACGAGTAAGTGCTTTTGCGGACCTTTCGAGACCTCGATATTCTCTAAAGTATTTGACAATACTTTGTAACTGCGAAATATCGGTGACAAAATTTTGTATTTTCCCAATCACTTTAACGACTCCTTGAAAAATTGGATAATTTTCAAAAAACCAACTGTAATCATTTTTAAATCACGTAAAGCTTTCACTCCGCTTCTATTAAATTCGATATTTCCGTAACTTTATCCGCATATTTTTGATCATCCTTTATCAATGGTAAAGTCCGTTCGTTTCGTTGCCACAATAGGATTGTCATCATCATCGGCCGAAACAAAGAAATGGAGTGTTTGGGCCTCTCCACAAATGATGATTGATTGATTTGATTTTTGAGATGTTGCTCCGACGGGATCTATTAGGATATTTCGTAAGATGATATGTGCAATGAAAATTCATCTAAAAAGTTTACGAATTCACTTAACTTTATGTAGACTACGTTGAAGGCTTTTATTAATATTCTCAAAAGTTTCTTTTCGTTCTTGAAGTAATGATTCCCACTTTTTGGCGACAAATTTTGATAAATCTCAGATATTGATTTTTAATTTGTGTGTTGTTTACTTTTTATTAATATGTATTAATGGAAAATTATCAAGCTTCTGTGGTGGTTTCTTTTCTTTTATCTACGTAATAAAAATTCTTCTGTTTTCTTTTTCATGGAATCTTCAGTGTTCAAATCCAATATGCTCAATTCTTCAATAAGCTGAAAATTTTCTCCATTACGAACTATATTTTGATTAATAAACTTCTTTTTGCTCTGGAGGTAATGATTCACATTTTTAAAGACAAATTTTGATACATCTTTGAAACCGTGTGATTTGATTTTTATTAATACGTACATAGTAATGGAAAATCATCAAAGTTTTTGGTTTTCCTTTCTTTCATATTCATAATAAAAAAATCTTCTATTTGCTTTATCAAAGCATATCAGTATTCAAATCTAATATGCCTGATTCTTCAATACGGTGAACAATGGCTCTACTACGAGAAACCTTTTTGCCATTTCTTCTTAAACATACGTAGTCTCTTAGCTCGTGTAGCTGTCGGAGTTACGTATCGGTACCCACAAAAAGTAACACCCGGTCCAAATAAAACATAAAAATGGAAATATTCGAACTATGTACATGTATATCGATATCTAAATTTTTTATAATACATGTAATTACATATTTCTAAATTTTATGTCATTTAAATCTAATCAATTATATTTTTGAATTAGAGAATGTAAGAACTTTTAATTATAAATCAACAAAAAAAATTTTATATGTAGTTTACTGATACATGAACGTATGGAGTTTTAAATCGAGCGTTACCGTTACTTTTTGTTAACGTTAATCATTATAACGATAAACTTTTTACGTATATAGTATGATCGGAAATCGGGCTAGAATCGAGAAATAAGCCACATGATCACATGATGGATTAGGCTTTATTCGTTCCCCATAAAAGGCAACTTGGACGTCATTTGGACGTGTATAGTGTTTAAAGCTGACTAGGATGCGCCGGTGCAAAGTCGACTTGCTGAGTCAGCCGACCTGACTTTTTTCGATGCGGCGCGTTAATCTTTCTAAATTTGGTAATTAATACGGACGTGTTTAATCTAATGCTGTGATGTAATCTTAACGTTAATACGTACTGTGATTTAATCGTAATACTGTGATTAATGTAAGCACATAAATAAATTCTAAATAAGGAAATTCACATGACCATCGACTCAGCCGGCTAGTCGATGTAAAAAATTCCAACCCAGTCGCGCCACACTAGATACTATGATACCGATACTATAAGATTCCAATTATAGGCATTTACTATGATACAATAAGATTCCAATTATAGGAATTTTAAACCTATGATACATGTACTATGAATCACAGTATCATGGGTTTTTAAACCTATGATACATGTACTATGAATCACAGTATCATGGGTTTAAAATTCCTATAATTGGAATCTTATTGTATTATAGTAAATGCCTATAATTGGAATCTTATAGTATCGGTATCATAGTATCATGAGTTTAAAATTCCTATAATTAGAATCTTATTGTACGTATCATAGTATAATGGGTTTAAATTCTTATAAATGAGTGATAACGCATCCAAGGATTGAACTACCAGGTCAAACGTATAGAAAATTTGCCGTGTTATATCTCTTTAAATTTCGCAATTTTTCTTGATTTTTAAACCAAATCGAACCAACTGAACCGATACAACCCTGTCAAGCAAACGAAAAAAGTATGTTTTTTATTTATTACATATTTTTATAACAGACATGTTTACCGTAGGAGCTTCTATTCTAATGAAAACATAATTTGCAGTTCGGAGAAGAGTTATGGTAGTTATAACAAGAGATGGTGTTACTTTGGAATTGCATGAAAGCATTGACTTTGCAGATGCACTTAGAAAAATAACGAATGACTTAGCTAGTGACTGTATATGTCCATCTAACATAATCGACCAGGAAGAATACTTGAAGAATCTCATAAACCATTTCTCTGCAGCCTTCCCATTATGTAACGTTCTTGCTACAAACAAAAATCATACAATTCTTGGTCAGTACAAACACTTCCACTATGAACAACCAGTGAGTATATTTGGACATACACGCGGAACAGACGTATTTGTTATAGGAAGAGGTTACAACACTGTGTTTACTTTGCTAGGCGAAGGTGGCTTCTGCCACTGGAGATTTAGAGGTTGGTTTGAGAGAAGAGACAAGACGGTTACTTTCAAATAAATTAAATTTATCTCAAAATAATGTTGATCGCATAATTATCGAGCAAAATAAATTTTTTCGCATCGAATTGTAAATCAATAATATGTTTACTGCGCCCGGACACGCGTGTCCAGTTTTAATAAAATTTACCCAAGGTTTAAGCCTTGTTTTATTATGCTTCCATAGTAAAAATAAATTCGTTATATTGGCATTTATCATATCGGGTTTGATAAAATCACGTGATTTTTATCCACATAAAAAATATAACCAATATTCAGGTAAAATTTATTACTTTTTCAGATAAAATTCTGCACAGCAGGATAAGATCTAACTTTTCTCATTTATAGATTCCATATAAGAGAGTGGCTAACTACCTTTAACATCGAACATATTAAAATCACTGTTATTTCATAATGCAGATATATTAAGGGCTGAGATAATATTTGCCAACTCAGATGAAAATGAGTATGTCACATTATCTAATTTCCACCCAAATTCTCACCCGCATCATTTATGTTGTTGCTTGAATTTCCCGCATCATTTATGTTATTGCTTGAATTTCCACCCACATTATTTGTGTTATTGTCTAAATCTTCATCCAAATTATTTACATTATCTTGATTAGTATTTTTATCCCTTCTACTAGGAATTTCCTGCATCATTTATGTTATTGCTTGAATTTCCACCCACATTATTTGTATTATTGTCTAAATCTTCACCCAAATTATTTACATTATCTTGATTAGTATTCTTATCCCTTCTACTAGGAACTCTTCGGGTAAGTGATGCAGATCGATCTCTTTGATCAGCAGTGAGTTCATGGTGACTCATATTTGTGATTAATAGCACTTCATAGTACCCTAGCCACAGCAAAAAAAAAGTGTCAGTTATGTGATGATGATCAAATCCAATCAATAAGAATACACAAAAATTCAGCGCAACCAATAAAAGTGTAGCAAATTTTTGATCAACTTCATCGGGTAACATCAGAGGGCGCAGTTCTACACAGATTTTTGGGTTCAAAGTTTTTCAAAGATCTTTGAACCTGGCAGCGATCTGTGAAGAAAAAAAATAAAAATTTCTGTGCAGATTTGCAATAATACACAGGTCTGCGCAGAATTTTTATTTTTTTTTAAAAAATTCTGCACAGGACTTTATAATGGCATTTATAACAGTACTTCGTAATAGTATTTATAACAATACTTTGTAATAGCATTATTCAATTTCATAGAACAGTAAAATTTGGCATTTAAAGAGTAGTAAATA